GTGAGATTAAATGGCAAAAATGTACATTCAACGCCATGTGCCACGCATAAAAGTGTCATAAGTACGCAGAAAGCCCACAAACACAAGTCACTGACTGAGACCTTAGGAAGTCCCAGTCCAGTAACAGCCTTAGCGGATTGAGGAACTGACTTAAACTGATTGTATTTCACATCCAACTGTTTACCTAACCAGTATTGATACGAAATACACTTCAGAGTTTCTATCCTCGAAATTGGCTTTCTTATTCATCTTGTCTCGGCTTTCCCGATTGCCTAATAGCTTAATTATGCCTGTTAAGCCCGTAACTTTGCTACAGTCGACCTCCTGTTACCACCATTGTACAGACTTAGCATTGACTGGATATACATGTGACTAGGATGCATCTGCTTGGTAGTTCGGGTCACAGGGTGACCCTTTGGATACACTGCGATGCTCAGCCGTTAAAGTATACTCGGTGAACTAACAATTATGGCCACCAGTTTGGTATCCTGATGGCTATAGGACTGCCCCCTCCTGTTTAACCTTCGGTTCGTACCGAATACATGGCTCTCTGATGGATACGCTTATAGCAAATCGCACGCAGCATTGCCCAGTTTGTGCGAGTGTTGATCTCAGCCCATACAAAATCAGAGCCTAGCCGCCACGATCCTCGTACAAATAGCAGTTGTTACTGCTTTTCTGTTTCCATTCATTGATTTTTCAAATGGTTTTTTGCCCTCTGTCAGATGAATTGCCTCCCATTATGCCCTATATAAATGATGAGGCTGTGTCTCCTTCCAAATTTCCGTATGTCCCAACCACACGCTACACAGGTGGAGATCAACCATACCAGTGGAACAGCTGGCGTAAGTGTTGATAAGATTTATTTTTTTGAAAATTTCTCTGTTTACTAGCAAACCGTTCAGCCAGAAAGTAGGCGAAAGGTAGACGCATTCCTAGATACTATTGTTGACCGTCTGGTGAAGAGTTGTCGTACGGACCAGTCGCATTCAGTTCGGAGGCAGACAGAATAGTTTGTCAACTTAATGTTTGAGTATTGCCGTTTTCACGTTATCTCCAAGGGCAACCGTGTCGTGGAGACTTTTCCACACAGTGTCAGGTCTGAAACCTACATTTTTCCATTCAGCAAACTGGAATACAGGGTTTTCTGACATGACTGTGAAGGTCAGACTACAGGTTAAGAATATGTTGTCGTGATGTGCAGTGACAGCTGTTCTTGGGCGTATCAGTGCCTGATCCAATGAGGAGGTCACAGGAGAGATACTTTGTCACATTTGTAGTAAAATCCTTCCTTACTGCCGTACAGTTTCAAAGATGAATTGTTATTTTACTAATAAGGCTGAACTAGTGAAAGAGTGCTGTCGAAGATATACGCTCACTTATTTTCAAGCTACCGTGGTGTTGACAGGAGGCTCAAATGCACAATTTGTTTTCGTGGGTAACCACCATAGATTGTACTCTCTCTAGATTAACGTTTGCGGGGAAAGAGATCCCCATAGATCCCACCTCTACCGCCTACGACCTTATCGCAAACTCTCGCACCCGTGTGCAAAGTCACAAGCTGTCCACCTCAAAATTCGCCCCCCTCTAGAAGCAGCAAACAGTCTTTTCAGAGAAGATGATCGGCGTGTATGGCACTACAACTGATCTTTCTGGATGCTTTTCAAGACTAAAGTGCCCGCTGCACAGCCAAATACCTGCTTTCCGATTGTCCATTTGGGCTTTTGTCCGGCACACCAAATATCAGCAGGCCTTCCGATAAATCAGTGGCCAAACATCCAAAGAGACTCCAGTTCCCCCACCCAAAAGGTCAAGTGCTAGTACAGCCGCCCGGTTCGCATTGTGACCTGGAATATCTGGTCCGTGATGTTAGTTGATTGTATGCTGCAATTGGTACAGATTATCAAAGGTGATATGGTTTTTTTTTAATTTCTGAGCTGGTTCTATAAGGAGCACTCCCGTCGACGATCATACAACTAACGAAGTATTCAACTCTCTCCATATTTGTCGGGAGTTATTTCAGAATAGCAAGCGGTACGTTTGAAGACACACGTTGAAGATATCATTTGCTTATTCCAAATCAACTAATTTCTTACTAGCATCGATCTGAACATCGTGGTTTCAAATTCAGCGCTCGGCTCGCCAAGCATTAAACAAAGTATTCTACAACAGAGATGTGAGTGATGGATTATGGGCATCTGGAGCATCTTCTGGTGAGCTCCGGATGGTTAAAGCTCGAAATCACCGACTGAAAAGTTCATAGCATCGAAAAGATGCTACAGTTGAAAGAATACTTACTACTACTCCAGTTGGGTGGAACTTTTCAAAAACACAAGCCATTCGATATGCTCGGACGTATTCTTGAAGTAAAGAAACTCCAAAACTGCGGGTCATACTTACATTTGGTCCCGTTCTAACATGTGACGGATTGTGAAGAAGTGGTCGACAAAGCTTTAATCCGGTGAACTACCACTTGTCGCTCACTGGTTATGGCTATTAATCAGTGATGCTACCAGCCTTAACCTAACGAGATTCATGGTGACGCATTCACTGTGATTGCTTTGTGGACCATGCGCACACTTACTGACTCATCCTGGTTATCAGGCATCTTTCGAACACAATTTAGATAAGCACTACTGAGGAATCCAGCACCGTGCGTGAACCGGTTGAAGGTTGCCAGGGATGTAAGATTGGCGCCGTTTGAGTGATGTGTATGCCCATATATCTCGAAGACATAAGAGGGTTCCATACTCACACTCCAATTTTCCACAACAGGCCGATAACCTTGGGGAAAAGCAGCAAGTGGTAAACTGAATTGTTCTAATAAGGAGTCGACTCACAGTTCGAGACTCTAGGGTCCAGAATCTTTCTTTTTCATGAATCTGTCAGTCTTTTTGACCTGAATTTACAGTTGATTTTACCCGGTTTGATAACGCGATAAAGTCTGTCCCCAGGCCTCCAGCAAGGTCACAGATATTCAGTACCTGAAACAGGTTGATGAATTGTATCGGAAACAGAAGTTTCAACATCGCGAACAGCAGAAGATGTCTAGCTATCCGAAACTGATTTGCAAGCAGGTAGGCAGCAGAGAATCTGACTCGCGCGAGCTTTTTGCTTTGAAGGCAATGAGTCGTCAGTGATTTAACGGGTTGTGCGTACTTTACATAGATCTCAGAAGCGTAAAGAAAAGCGACAATCGATGAGGGCATGATCTGGGTCCACACAGGTAGTACAGAGATGGCGTAAGCACTGACTGACCACCGTCAGTAGTAACTGATGGTAATGTGCGTCCGGATTGGATTTTCTGAGGTCTTCTCAGTTGAGAACACCCAAATCAGGAGAAGTAGCTTCAACTTGGCAGAACCAATGGTTCTTGCAGCAGGGTGGCACAGTATACCCCAGCACTTACCAAGTCGTTTCGATATAAATTTCACTGCGTATTACTTGGCTGAAGATGCCGTGACTCGAAAAGGTGAAGCTCTTCATGTGTGTATGACCTGAGTCACCTCAGTCGCCTGTCCCAGTCAAAGGACCCCCAAATCGCCACAAGTAGCCGGATTTTCATTACCTTGAGTGTATAATACAGGGCATAATGTTGGTATTTGTCAATCTCCTCAGTGAAATCATCCCTTCCGTAATGTTAGGTCATAGCTTGCAGCAAGTTCACTCAAACTTTTTCCATTCCACGTAAGATCAATCGGTCGTGTGTCTGAAATAACTGAACCATTCTCTCCTCAGCTCGTCAATGAGCAATTTGAGTTTGAATGTTCAAAAGATATGTTCCTGATAAACCCTCAACTGCATCACTAAACTGCCACATCACCAGAAGTAAAACTCCCAGGATTCTCCTACTAGTTGACCTGAGAATTGCCAGGTAGATTACCTGTAGGATTTGTTGAAAAAAAAGATGGGAAGCTTCTTATTGAACAATTTATCGGGTGGAGCGAATCCTCAGAGATCGCACTGCACACAATTTAGTCACTGGACAAACCCGAATTCAGCTTTCAAAACTCAGACAGGACGTCTAGGATTGTTGTAAAGTCGCGCCTAGACTGCACCTGGGTGATGAACCGATAACACACGTGTAACAATGTCTCACTCTTTACCTGCCGCATGGGAGATGTATACAGTTGTACAGTTGAACAGGCAGATCCACAAATTTAAAAACTTGTTCTTTCCTGCTGAGCTTCTTCCTCTACTCCCCCCANCTGCTGAGCTTCTTCCTCTACTTCCCCCACCTTCGTGGCAATTATTCTTCGGGCACTGATTGTGTGAATCACGGTGTTTACATGACTCTTCTGTTGGGCTGCTAGTAAGTTTTGTCGGAAAGGTTTCTTCTGAAATTAAAATGGAATAGTGGGGTTCTAGAGGAAAAATCAAGTGTTTTCTACCTTCTGTTTCGCATCGACTCGGGAACGTGTGAAACGAGAGTACGAAAGCCCGACAGGATGATAAATGATGTGTTGTCATTAGTACAAGGTTAGAGTTGATATTGGAATCAAACGAAAACAGGGTACCAAGGGCGTATCACTCGGGGTGCTTGCATTTACTCTTTGTGCTTTACTTTTGTACTCAATGATTCTCTCATCACTATCAACGTAAGTATTAGATGAAAGGTATTCCCTACGCTGGTAAATGGGTTGTTTCGATTCGCTGGTCCAAGGATGCCTTGGCCTTTCATGTCAACCACGTTTTGCTGAGTTTCACACTTGCTTGGCTAACAAAAATGCAACAGAAACGAAGTTTTTTCTCGGTACACAAGAGATACCTAATTAAACCCGATCGGGAATGCGGAAAACGCTGCTGACTATCCACGACAAGGATGGGAACAGGTGTTCACCAAATGGGATTTCAACTAATCTGGCCAGAATTTTATTCCGTAAAATGTGCCAGAACTGCTTTTCAAACAGGGCCATCTATCTGTGAACGAAAAGTCTATCACGGTTTGGAAAGCTAGTAGAAAAGGGCGCAAACTTTTTACATAGAAACCAGAAAAACGTTCCAATCAATATACTCCTGCGCCAATATTTTCACCAGTGGACAGTATCGTCAAAAACACATCATTTGTAAGGTTTCGTTTTGTACCACCCGGGTGGTTGAGTGGTCTATCGCTGTCATTTTGGTTCACAATAAACACCCGTTTGTATAGGACCATAAACTGCACTTCTAATTTACTTGAAGGTTTTTTTAATTCAAGCGTGTTCCAGGCCGAATGGTTTTGTGCATAGTGGATTACATAACGCACCATCTGTTTCTGACGGTCACTTCTCACAAAATACTATACAGTGGTTTGTCCGAGTTGCCCCATCCAAAGAAACGACACATTGGGTTTCTTTAAAGAAAAGATAGCTTTCGCTAACTAGAATGCATAACTTTTGAAAATGCAGTTCGAAACCAGAATGATGTGCAACTGGGTGTACTTTGCAAGCTACTGGGTCCACGTAGAACAAAAGGATGACGAAATCCAGGGGACTGTGTCTATAGGGTGAGTTTTAGAAAGCGCGAAACCGGGATTTGGCTGTCAAAGAGTTTTCAATAACCGTAGGATTACTGTCTCGTCCTTTCCTGGAAACAGTTTGATCAAAAGTATCATTTATCCCTGCTTTTGTTGTGGCAAAGTGTACTAGGGGTACAGCCATATGCACTCTACATGAATGAAGTAATGTCTGGATGTCGCTTCTGAGATTAAAAACTTTCAGGTTGGTTTTCATCGAAATCCTGCGTTCATTGTGTATCCATCGGTGAGTAGTTGTCGTTGAATGTGGTTTTTGGATGTGGACAAGAGAAATCATCGGGGGGTAGTTCCCAATCTCGAAACAGATATGTATATTAGGCCCACTGGCAATAATATCACGCCAGTATTGATTTCAAGGTACGTTCTATCACACCATCAATCAGGTCTAACTGGGTTATTCATGGACCATGTATGGACGTGTCATTGTTCATCTGCTGATCATTTGCTAAGACAAAGCCCACAACATAACTGGAGATGCAAGTCTGAACGAGCTCAGTCATTTGACTGCTGTGACCACAGAACTTCAACATCATTAAATAAGTCTCACCCCATGCTGTGGAGGTTGATCCCAAATCTGGCGGGTGATTTGGATTCGAAAGATATCAGGTGGAACAGATCCCACTACTTACAGGTAAGCGTTAGTGTGGATATTTGGTTCAAAGGCATGACCGCCGTTGTTGAATGTTCTTTTGGCGCATAACACAGTTTACGTTATACAAATGGTAGCCAGGGAAAATTGTTCCTATAGTAGGATGCCCCGGGGGAGATTGCAACCTGTTCGGATTTCAACAGTTACCTAGTCCCAGGGAGGAACAGTTCCTGTTGGATCATCTCTTAAAGTGGTCGAAATAAAATGGAACAGAATCCCCAACTGCAAATCATTGAGTACCTACCCATTCGAACTTCAGTGAATACAGGATCTGGCGATGAGCGTCCCGCCCGACATCGATATCATTAAGTGGGGCTCGGTTTATCCAATCCACAGAACTGCACTTTTACGCCCTTCTCCCGAAATGTCTATTTGAGAGTTGAGCTTGCAAACAATTTTGGACATCCTGGGTGGATCAAAGTTCAAACCAAGCCGCCATCCACACTCTTCTTTACGTTCCACTGTCGCTCGGTCCACATGGCATGTGCAGCCGCCATCCACACTCTTCTTTACGTTCCACTGTCGCTCGGTCCACATTGGCATGTGCTGAGTTTTTTTAAAACGTCCGGTTTGTAGTTAAACAGCGTTTGAAGAATTACTGATGGATATGTTTAGTAGAATGTCACTTCGGGGACTTGATCCGACCTGAGAATGCTCCGTTAGAATATTTTTTGTCTACTGGTCTTCAAAATCCCTTCCAAATTCATCGCATTTTTGTTTTGATCTGTACTTCAGAAGACATGTCAGTAAGCTTGAATTCCTCAGTGGGTACTCTGAGAAAGTGGGATCTCCTGTTTAATCGTGGAGATATTTGCGAGCAACGTCGATAAATAATTAGGCAGAATAGGAAACTCAGTATACGCAGGCGCATAACTTGTGTGTGGCTCATCGAACTTCTCCCAATTTTTCCAAGGTAGCAGCGATAGCATTAGCCGTCTTGTAGCGAAATGTCCGGTTCCACACAAACTTATCTCGGTTTGTTGAAACACCAACTAAACTATTGAACAGGAAAGTAGATCTCTCATATGCACTTTGCTTTTAAAAGCTGAACATCCGTCTTCTTCTTGGACGTGTGATCTTCAATTTTCTGAATATTTAGTGACTATCACGCGGTTTTAAACGAATACTTTAAAGTAGTTCCATAAATTCCGCAAAAAAACCCTACCTTCACATATTGGTAATGTACTACTCATAAGGTTGTTGAAAATCTGTCGACAGCCCACGACCGGTTTCACCCTTCTCGGGGCTCATTAGGTATGCGCAGTCCCAGGGTTTCCGTCAACCATATGTTCTACTTGAAACCAAATTGCACGAAATTAGCACGAATATACACTCATCTGCAAACTAATTTGGTTCTTTCGAGAGACTCACCTCTAACCCAGATGAATTCCTTGTTTGTGATGTTCTCAGGCAACTGAATGTGCTGTACCAGGCCGACTCATGTTTCAGTTGGTACGATATTCAAAATACCGCGACACTTGATTAGTTTGCAGATGAGTGTATATTCGCTAATTTCGTGCAATTCGGTTTCAAGTAGAACATATGGTTGACGGAAACCCGGGGACTGCGCCTATCTGATGAGCCCCGAGAAGGGCGAAACCGGTCGTAGGCTGTCGATGGATTTTCAGCAACCTTATGAGTAGCACATTACAAATATAAACCCTACCTTCCATTGGACGCGAAGGGGCGTTACGAGAATACCACGTACTACTCAGATGCTTCATCAGTAGTATCCCAGCGAACGGTTTCAACTTGTGTCAAACTTAACTAGGATTACTTAGAAGACGCAAATTATGTGGCTGATTTGTGGAAGGTCCACATATCGATCGAGTCTCATCAAATGGGTGTAGTTGTGGATCCGTCATGTGACCTCCCTTTTGCCGCCTGCACAAGACTGTTCCAGTAACTACCCACGCTGATGAGAAATGTTCTGTTAATGAATCCGCTTAGAATGTACAAAAGTCACTCATTTCTGTGGTTTACTACCGCTAGTCGACCGACTAAGCTGAATGCCCAACGCCAGTGGCATGGCACTGTTTTATGAGGACCCAATGAAATGTAACCTCTTCGTCTATAGCATACTAGAAGTCATGTTTACTTTGGTTGCCATCGAATGAATTAAGCGGAAATTTCAGCTGTACATCGATAGGATTTGAAAGCGTGTTTCTTTTCAGAAGCACATTGTTCCTTTGGGAAACTGTTGGGAAATCGCAGATGATTCAGGCCTTTTTGATTTGTTGGCAGAGTTTAAGGGAACAATGGGTAGTTCCAACTCTGTCGGCGATCGCGTAGGTCCAAACCATCCGTCATTCAAACGAGCGATTAAGCCAGTTCCTAATGGACGGATGTCAAACAAATATAACGTGGATTAATGACATGATGTAAGCCTGTGAGTGTTGACCCGACAAAAGAATTATTCATCAACAGGTTCGTGGTTCAACAAGAGAATGACAGTTGAATTTTTTATAAGGATGTTGGCTGCATCAATCAAACTCCGTGCCCTAAATTTTGGAAACAAATGTTCACTATTTGGAAGACCTAAAGTCACTGATCCCTTCGACTTGGTGAACACCAAATTGAGTGTGGAAGCAGATAACATTGCCCCCTGTAAGCCCGGGGACATCAGAATTTTGTAAGGCAGACATAACCAAGTCAGTAGACGCGCGCATGTGTCCAAAAGAGTAGATGTAACTCCCAGCGCTACTACAGATCAGTTCTCGCCATAAGGTGTTTACATTGGAAGGCATCAATGACAAACCTCAATGCTGCGACAAAACTTACACACAATGTACACTTTCTCCCTCGTTCAAACCCTATCCCTTGTCGGGACCCACTGCTTTTTCCGTCTACCGCACAGATTCGATCCGCACTCGTAACCCCCTCATGAACTTTCGACTCCGGATACGGTGAACAAATTTTACCTAAGCAAGCCTTTTGACCAGTCACATCACCACGTTCTGTTCGTATACGTTTGTCACTGATTCCAATCAATTTCCCGTTTTCTCTGCGTATGCTGTTTCTGTAGCGTTTTTATGGTCCTGTAAGGCTTCCTTGAACTAATCCGTGCAGCGACTTGAACGAAAATTTCCATAAATTGAGATATGTACATTTAGCACTGCCAGACTTCGGAATGAATGACTCATGCCTTCCCGCACCACTCAGTTGGGATTTCTCGGATAACTCAAGTATTCTATATTGTTTGACCGTGAAACACTTGTTTTGATTGGCTGAACCTTATCTTTGTCTTATTGATTGCTCCACAATTCAAGGTAGTGCTACAAATGATGAGACCTGTATTATTGTGCAGTTAGCTTGAACTGTAGTCTACATTTTTCAATTACAGGTTCCCACAGAGCTCCCAATTACCAGCCCTTACCTCGCCGATCATGGTCCCGCCCAAACGGTGTATCCAACGCCCCTTGTAATCAACCTCACATAGTTCAACGATGTTCCGGTGGAATGTGTTTGAATCTTGGTGGGCGGTCATATATGTGCGAATGTCTTCCAGGGTTTGACAGCTACGATCGGGGACGATATTGTGGAACGAAATAAGGTATGCCGTTTTTTGACAGCAAAATTTAACGGACAGTCCTGGCTCGTATTGTTTATGGCAGATGACAGCAAAAATTCCGGCATACAAAATATTAGGAGAACCAGTTCCGAACGTAACGGGACTGCATAACTGCCAACAGAGTAGCCGTTTTTCGTTGAGACAGATTTCACTGGTTGTTCTCCACTCACCCTTGACAGATGAGTTGTATTCTTAGTATCACTTTTGACCGCTTGTACGCGACAGTGATCAATAGAGCAGCCGGTTCGCACGTTCATTGACTTTTTCTGGTAGAATGGCCAAGCGCACCAGGCGATCAAGCGGCTATCCAGACCGGGGTTCACGGTTATAAGAAAGCATTAAGTGACTGTGGTCCACAACACAAAAAGAAGTACCTTTCATTCGGTGGTTGCCAGAACGATGTGAGTTACACCCGACCGCTCAGCTGAATGTCGGTATGAGTTTTGTCCATACTTATATCACTCCTATCGGTCAGTCACCCTTCCTGTCCTGACTTAATTACTCTGGTGAGTCCGCATCAGCAGGAGAAAGCGCTCGAGTTCCGCTCTCATAAGTAGTGCATATCCAATGGCCGTGCCGGGGGTTGAACTCTGGTTACTAGACATGCGGGGTGAGCGCGTTACCATTAATCCACCAGCGCAAGGTGGATTAGTCTGAATTTTAACGTCTGAACGGACGAACGAGTTCACGCTTGAGCGAGTTGATTGGTGTGCATCATCATCATCATCATCATCATCATCATCATCATCACATCAAAGATTGGTGTGTCCGACTGTCCTGGCTGTAACCACCGATGGACTCGCCTGTCAGGACTTCCCAGTCAGGTAGCGCCATAGACGCTCGAGTTTCCTGTTTGCTGTAAATAAGGGTAGTCATTCGTGTCTGTTCACGCATGACGGTGATCAATCAACTTTTAATTTGATACTTTCAGAGTGTTTACCTTTTTCTGTTAGTTAGGTATGCCGTGCGTGAGGAGAGTTTGCTTGGTTCGCTTAAGAAATTTCTTGTTATCAGTCAGGAAGGGAACTTGGGTACAAACTAGCTAGTGTGTTTGGATGCTTTGAATCATAAAATCCTAAGGTCGGCTGGCTTTGGGTGACCTGAATTACTGGTCTTTTTTTATCTTCACCTTTCCTCCAACCGAGTGACCCATCTTTACCAAGCGCGTATCATTTTCCATGATACAAACAGCACCGGTTAGAAAAGTTATTCACTCTATGTATTTATACGGTTTTCCCCGAGGGTTGGTTTCCCCTCATCGCCTCGTTGACAAACAAGGGGATCAACACTTGTTTCTATGCATGAGAACTAAGAACCATTCGGCCAGCTTCATGACCAGTTGTTGATAGGATCCCATCACATTAGCACTTGGTATGGAGAAACTCAAGACCAAGAGTGCATGAATCCATCGTTTCACCGTCCAAGTGTGATAAGTAGTCAGTCCGGGTGATTGAGCGATAATTTTCACTCTTCACATCCTATCTTGCGTTTTCTGCGGCATGCTGTTCCCTGGTAGGCGTCTTTTTGTTTTACTCCGACAGATGCGACTACTTCGGGTGTTGCATATTATCTGTTCTAATCATTTCGATTAGTTGGATGAATGTATTCGCCTCGATGAAATCCCATGATATGAAAAGGGTGCTATAGTTAGGTGCTGGACAGGCGCAATTCCGAACCATTTTAATTTCCCCTTGCATTTTTCATGTTATTCATTCGGGGCCTGTATAGCTCGAATATGATCTGTGCGAGTGGGCACCAGATGCCATCGAAATTTTAAAAAACTTTGAAGAAGTTTGCAATAAATGGGTGGTGAATAAAAACTCTGTAGTTCGTCGACAGAAAACGCTAATTTTGCAGTATGGCATTCATACCCAATAAGTCTTCAGTAGTCTAGTTCGCCTTGCATTTACATGTGTACGTTTGGCTGAGATCGTAAGTTTAACGCGTATCAAATTTTCCACGCTTCCCTGATCATCTAAGGTCATCACCAACATCGATGATTAGGCGTTCGGCTAAGATCAACCGTTTTTTAATAGGTATAAAACCAAAGTAGGCATGTAAATTTCCAACATTATATGCCACTCCAGGGGAGCACCATCGTGTAGAAAGATAGGATAGTTCTTAAACAGTTAAGGTTGTCTTTATTAAGGGGACCAAAATTAGTTTTGATGTAGGGAATCTACAAATAGTTGAGAGATCTCAATGGCGGTACGTTCGACTTTGAGGCTTCCGATCAATAGTCGAACATTGTTCACTTGAGCTAGGAGTGGTTGATCTGCGGGCTGGTTAACTAACATCCACTCACGAAATGATAAGCTATTCCTTGATGATTCAAGCTGTGTGTTAGAATGACAACTTCTTCGGAAATAATAAGGTTGAACGTGATATACTACTCATAACGTTGCTGAAAGCTCTCCTTCCCCTTGCGTCTCCCGTCGAAAACAAATTGGTACGTAAATGTGTGTGTATCGCTAAGTTCATGCAATTTAGGTTCAATTAGAACATAAGGTTGATGGAAACTCGGGGACTGCGCCTACCTGATGAGCCCCAAGAAGGGCAAAATCGGTCGTGGGCTGTCGAAGTGTTTCCATCAACCTAAAGACTTGTGTATAACGTCTGTACAATGTATCGCGACATCTAGAATATCGTACCAGCTGAAACATTAGGCGGACTTGTGCAGCACATTCAGTTTCTTAAGAACATCCTAAACGAGAAATTCAGCTGGGTTCTAGGCCAGTCTCCCGTCAAAACCAAACTGGGATACAACTGGGTGTAATTCAGTAGTCAGGTTAGACTTTGGAAGTATTTGGAATATCACGGGTTCGATTCCTTCTAGCTACACATGAGTCAAGCACAGTTGATGATTCCTAATAAGGATGTAGCTGTTTACGGTTCCTCTTGGTCCTTCAGTGCCGGTTGGATTGACTTGCGGGATGAAAATATGGGTAAAATTTCAACTTTTGTTCAGTGCTAGTACGTAGCTGACCATTTCGTTTTCCCCTAGAGTTTTTCAGTAAGATTCAATCAATCTTCTCACTGTTGGCATAGGTAAGTGCTCGGTAGTTCCCACACAAACAAAGACTGGGGAGTGCAGGTGGCAAACAAAACTGGAATATTTCTAACAAGAATTAAAACAATTTCATAGTACGTTTCATTTCGGGCCGTGACTCTCATGGTTTTTCTCAACAGGCACGCAGGTAGTCCACAATATTATTCTGAAACGTACGGAACTCCAGTTACGCTGCCCGAGACGGGCCACATAAATGGTTAGGGACATTGGCAAACATGGTCCAGTTGTACCCTCAATGGCGCTCTTGCATCCAAGCTGTTGCCGTTGGTGCATAGCTCCCTTCTTAATTCCCCCGCCCAACAGTCCACTGCTGTAATCACGCTTCTGGCTCCAAGGCGCAGCTATCCACCCCACCTCCCCAAATTATCGGTGAACGAAACTGTGGGGCAGCTACAACCACTGTACGACAAGTACGCGGTTATTACAGCTGACGATGATGATGATGACGATGAATAGTATCCGCAGGCTACTAGATTTGCAGACCAAGCAAAAGCTAAAATCACGTCTGAAAACTTTTTTTAATTTGGCGGCGTGGCATTCTTCATAGTGTATCTGATGTTGTGCAGCCTAGACCTTTACTCGCCCTTTTGGAAGCGAAAAGTGGGTCTCTCCGAAAATTCGGTGTGTTTGATTGAGTTGTGTGAACAGAGTGGATACCTCCAGCATACGTGGCGCCTGGGATAGAGACAACTCACGCGATAAGGTACACGAAACTCTAGAGCCGTCTTTGCTCAGATGTGCTACCTGGCAGCATCCCAGCCCCAGTGATTCCCTTGATAGCTGGACCTAAGAATGATGATTCCTATGAAGGATTTAATTTTCCGTTTTTGACACAGTTCAGGTGAATCTAATGAGACTGCTAAATTTATGCACTTTTGTACAGGTGGCAGGCCTTGCTGATGGTTAAAATTTTCCTGAAATTCCTCGTAGATGCGACCATTTTTGGGATTCACAACAAAGCGTGGCTGATGAGGGACTCTATTGTGGCCTCTCCCGGAGAGCACTTTTAAGTCAGCTGGTAGAAACCGAGAGCTCCTGTTTTGGTGACAGACCTCCAAAAATGAGTACATGTTTAACTTTGCTTATTCTCTCACGATCCTGTGGCTTTATCAATACCTGTCACCAAGTTATTGTCCATACAGTGTTGTCTATTTGTGATACCACTACAAGTTTTTGTAGAAAAAAGCCGGATGTCATTGGTCCGCTTGGATAGACTTAAAGTGAAATCGTTCAACTATTGATCCAGGCTCCTACATCTATCAACAAACACCGATTCTTCGCAAGAGCATACCAACAATCTATCATGTTATTTTCACTTGTGGCAAACGTAGTCAAACTAAGACATGACGCAGCGTGCTCTTAAGACTTTTCAGGAAAATGACAACACCTGACTGACCTGTCTCACCTTCATTTGGTTTGAGTATCATCAAGTTCCGATGTGTTACGATCCACCAAGCTCATCCCTTTTAGAAGTATCTCCGCAACGAAAACAGGACAGTCACACTGGAAACGGGATGATAGCTCAAGAACTCGCTGCTAAAATAAACAAAACGTATTGACTTTGTCATTCTTCTTACAACTAGGCTTTGCCAAGCAGTTTAGATGGCCAAAACGCTCGCCAACTACAAGAGGCAGATGGAATTCAGAGGAAAAAGCATCCAAACGGACACACAAAGACAAATTGACAGCCGACATTTTCGCGGAACGTCAAATATCTGGGGGTTTCACATTTTGACTTTTTGAAATTCTTGCAGAGGTTCCAGGGGTAAAAGTAAAGCAAAACAGGGTTGTAAAATTGAGGATATAATACCAATCATGTTGAAAAAAGGAACTGAAAATGACGCTCTATTTTTAGCCTGGAATGTTTT